TTATTTGTAGGACATTTATTTCTAAATCACTTTGTTTCATACTAAAATGCTAAACTATTAGGTAAACCTCAAAAAAATTTCCATTTTTGAAATTTCGTAGCAATTTTATATGTTTAGAATAACGCAGTACTGAGCGATAGAAAGATCAATGAAATTTTTTTATGATATGAGATCTAAATGGACTCTATGTATGATAAAAATTGCATAGTATTTGATTTTATTATTAAGAAGATATAATTGACACAATATAAAAAAATGAAATTACGTAACTCTTGAACACGCTGATATTATTATCGTGCTTTTTTAAAATAGATTTTCATGTGCTGATGCTATCAGTGTGTAAAAACTCATCGTTTACAATCTCGAATTGTAATCAAAAGCTCTGTATAGATGCAATAATAACAATGATTATGAAATTCAAAAAAAAAATTACAGATGACACTAATTGTGGTTATGATAATCAAGAAAAAGACACATAAAATGATATACCAATTTATTTTAGAATGCTTTTTTTTATTATTAGTAGTTTCATATCATTATTTCACATTAAAACAGTTTCTCTTACTTTTTTCTTTACCTAGAATTTCAACAAAATTATCTTTTGTTAATAAAATAAAATATAAATCATTTCCAAAAAAGAATCATCGAAATTTCTGAAAAAAGTAATATTAGTTGCTTGATATCTAACATTAGATGAACGGTCCGGGTTTCGATTTTTAGGAACCGGAATCATGGTTTCAGTTACGGATATTTTTTGGAACCGCCAGACTCTAATGTAAGGTCTTTTAGATGAGAAGATCAGATTTCACAATTAATCGATAATTTTAGGAAAACTCTGAGTTTTCTACTTAACTATGTGAACGATTTTAAAATTTTTGATGCCTCAACTATCCAGAAAATGAAACAAACTAAAAACTAGAAAAACAATTTCTCTCATATCAACTAGTAAGAAGTTCTCTGTCGACAAAGAAATTTTACGCGTAAAAATCCTATTCTGCAGCATGATCCCTGCAAATCTCTTGAATGGTAGAGTATTGTGAGGTGAAAATATTTATATTAATGTGCTTTCATAAGTTAAAATTAGGCAAGGCTAGGATACTAGAGGCTTCTATTACAATAAAAGTTGAGAATAATAATGAATTCTCAAGATTGTAATGATTATTATATAAAATATAGAAGTTCTTAAACATAGTAATATTAATAGATGAGAGTTAGAAGGTAGTTTTATCTTTATAAGAAACGTTCCATTCTCTCAAGAATTCTGTGTAACCGTTTCATTTGAAAAAGTTAACACATTTTAAATAAAGTTATAAGGAATCATGCGTTCCTTAGAAGTATTTTTTTCAGTTTATATCATTAGTCGATATTGATTTATCTTTATTAAGAGGTATTACTCAACAAAAGATAGATTGTTGCAAAAGATATAAAAATCAATACTTTTATTTAAACAGTAATATGTACAAGACTTATTTCTTTTAACCATTCTCTCGCTCTTATCAAGTATACAAACAAAAAATTTCATAGATATCGATGAAACAGATGATCTTAAATCATTGACTCTCATATTTTGTCAACAAATAGAGCGCAATGAACTCTAATTGCGAGTATCAATCAGGATTTGATCGGTCTTGGAATGAAGGAATTAGAAGACCAACATTGACTTTTTTATTTAGACACGAGAATATCTCAATATTAGGGAGAAATCTAACAGCGTTTAACCTATCATTCGCAAGTACAAGGCTATCTCTATTACCAATAAAATTTTCATATCTAACGATTATAGTTTACTTAATTTATGAAGTTATCTTTGGATACGTTTAACATGAAAGTTAATGAAGTTTGTCTAAAACTAATCTGTAATTCCAATTATTTACCTTCATATTTTCTTCAATATGTTGTCTGTTCTAATCAACTATTCCCTGAAAATTCCATGATTATAGCCACGTTATGCGGTGAAGATCTATGGGAAGATGATCCCACATAATTGAAACGTCACTGCGCTTCAGAATCATAACAGATTGAAATCTTCTATTTGTAACATATTAAAGACATGTAGAGCTTTATTTATCAGTACAAAAACCGATATAAGCGTCTCAAAATAATAACGAACAAGAAAAATGTCAAAGTAAATCCTTTGTTTTAAGGTCAAAAGACTAAAACAATATTTTTCTCTAAATCCAATGGATTAAGACGAACCTACCAACTCAAGTTGATGCTTGGAATGAGAGTTAATCAAGCTATGCTTTTAGAAAAAATATCAGGCAAATAGATTTAAGTTTAGATACTTTTTACTTGAATGTCGTATTTTTTTGCGACTACTGTACTTGCAAAACGATATTATTTGATAGATTAAATAGATATTGCTATTAAAGATGATAAAAAATAATATATGATTGACTTTCAGCAAAAGTATCTGAATCTACAATTTATTAAAATTAATCACATTTTTATGATCGAAAAAATTTGATAGCATCTCTTTGTTTTAGAAGGAATTTTCACATTAAATATAAAACTATACATGTAAAAATAATATTCTTCTATATTTAGAACAATTACGAAAAGATATATCACGAACATATTCAACGGAATTAGAAGAAAAAGAACGTGCACATAGCAAAGAATTAGCTGCTGTTCGTCTACAATTAGATCGTGCTCTTGAATTAACTAAAATAAAAGTTTGTCCAAAAATAAAAACAAACAAACAATTTTCTTTTTTTGCTTTATCTTAATATCATATATATAGGAGCGTGAAGCTGATTTACGTATTGAAGATCTTACTAGTGATCTTAATATAAAACAATCACGTATTGATAATTGTCTACGAGATTTAAATGAACTTCAAGAACAGATTGAACAATTACGTTATGATATTGATATGCGTAGTAAAGAATTACAACGTGTTCGAAATGAAGCACAAAAAGAGATTAAGTATAAAAATGAGACAAAAACAAAAAATCAAATGAAATTGATTTTATTATGATTAATTGTTTGTTTTGTTTTTTTTGTCAGAAATCGTGAAGAGAAATTACGTAATGAAAATGAAGAAAAAATTCGTGATCTTTTACGTACACATGAAAATGAAGAAAAAAAATTATTAGATGAATTTGCTAAAGCACATGAATTACTTAAACTACATATTTCTGAACTTCAATCAAAGTAAATTAAAATATAAATGATTTTTTTATTTATGGAATTATTTTCTTTTTGTTTTTTTTTAAATAGACTTGATGAAGCTGATGAACGATATCGTAATCGTGAATCACGATCAGAAGATTTAGAATTAATAACTACACTTCAACAAACAATTTCTTCTTATCAAGAACAATTAAAAAAGATTCATGTAATTATTCTTTTTTTTTTTTTTTATTGATTTATTTTATATAAATTTATTAAATATATTTTTTTTGTTTTCTAGGATGAAAAGAAATATCTTAAAATGGAATTAGTCAATCGAGAAACAAATTTTAATAAAGTTTTTACGAATGCTCCGTCTTCCAATGTCGGTGTAATTAATCCTTTAGCGTATAATACAAAATTTGTAAGTTTTTTGTTTCATTTTTTTTTTCTTTAATCTTGCAAAACTATATGGATCCTATCAAAAGTTTGTCGCTCTTTCGACATTCGCAATCGATATTTTGCTTGATATTAGAATAATTCAGTTTTCTCATGCTAAAAGTTGTTCATTAAGAAAGTGAATTCAACTTGATTCGAATGATAAACATGTCAAAATGTGTTGTTTGAACCAGATCTATGGAAAATAGATGCTGTATTATAATCTATGTAGAACTATTCAATTATTCTTTTAATCAATGAATAATTAAAATTATAACATTAAAAATAGTCAAAATATGTTTTCTACTAAACAACTTTCTTTAAAATCTTTACTGAATTCGTTGTAAACCGCTTGTTTGTATCATAATTGTCATACGCTCATATATAGATATTATATTCTTCGATTTATAAAAGTAATAGTAATACACTTAGAATGGTAACTTTTATATTGTAAGTTACAAAGGAATCCTATACTCGAATGAAATTATCATTTTTATTGCGGAATTTACATATTCAACATGTGAGTTACCTACAGTAAATTTGGATTGAGATATTCAGTTTTTAAACAATTCAATTTTGGTATAGGAATATGATAATACGAGAAAGGGTTACATCTATCTTTTTATAGAGAGTCAATTTTTAGAATCATGTTGAAATCAATTGATTAAATTCAAACTGTATAAGGTTCAAAAGTTTCTTAATATTTAGTTGGAAAATGATGTATATACACAATGTCTAAAACTTAATATATATTAATATAACATATTATGATTTAGTAATTATTCCTTCATGTTTATTACAAAAAACAAATATTGCTGTTATTACTGTCTATTTGAAGATCTTCATTTCCATCTGAATGCAATCTATTAAGAAATTATTTTGAGCTATTCCTTAGTTTTTCAGTTGAAATAAAATCGAAAGTATGAATAATTTATCGAACTTGATAAATAAGGTTACAAATTAAACTCGATCTCGTTAGCTAAATATGAAAAACCAACAGATAAGGCTTATGGATGTAGCTAAAATATTTTGAATTTTCTCAATAATAACACATTATTCAAACAACTCTATAAAAGTTTTATGAATATTTGTTGTTTCCTAGGTTCCTCGTAATTCTGATGTATCAGGAACAACTCGAAAATCTCAATCACCTCGTCCATCGAAACTTGAACCATTAGTAACCAATGGTGAAATTCCACATGATCTGGCATTAAATCCGAATAAACCATTATTACCAAAACGTTTTATTAAATAAAATCTCTTTGAACATGATGTATTTTATTTTTAAAAAGAAAAAAAAAGATTCTGAATATTTTCATGTAAAATCATGTTTTGCCTTTTTTTTTGTTTGTCTGTTTTCAAAAAAAGAAACGAAGATTTCATATTGTAAGTGTTATTTTCTACAATAAAAAAAAGAAAGAAAAAGGAGAAAGAAAAAAGAGAAACATTTTTTATGAAATAGATTTGCGCTGCCGAATACGTGTCATAATATGTTCACAAGTTTGTATAATATCCTTCAAAAAAAAAAATTCATTCTTTTTTAGTCTCTTTTTTAAATTAAATCTCATCAAATAACTTACATCATTTTCTGAATGAAAACGTTTTATTTCATATAGTAAATTTTCATCAATTTTTGTTGATATCATTTCATCAATAGCATCATCTAAATAATTTAATTAAACAAAAATAGAAATTTTTATATTGAAGAATAATAATATTATTCTTCTAACCATAAGGTGACATTGATTTTAATAATGTTAATATTCCTCGTGGAATGTCCACATGATTTTTAAATCGATCAAATATTTTATTTAAAATTTCCATTGAATCTAGAAGTGTACCATCATTTGAACGACTACAAAGAAAACGCATTACACAGCGTTCTACAAAAGTAAAAAAACTCATTTTCTTTTTTTTTTTGTGGATTATTTAAAAAATAATATACCATCAAGTTTGAATAATTCAGATAAAACTGTAAGTGCTATAAAACAAACAAAAAAACGAAGATTTCATGTTCTTATTGAAATTTATTTTTGAGAAAGATACAAACCAGCTTTAATTGCAGCACGATTATCATTATGTTGTTGTAAACCAATTGTAAAATAACGTACAAGATTAAATTGTACTAAATAATCAACAGTTGATTCTAAGAATAAAAATCAAAAGAAAAAAAATTCAATTTATTTCTTAATATTATCAAAAATAAAAACAAAACATACATACTTTCAAAAATAAATGGTAAAAAGGCAAAGCATACTTTTGTAAATAGGTCACTATTATCTGGATGATTTTGAAGAATATTTAGAAAAATACTAAGAATTGTTGCTTGATGACCACGAAGTTCATTTGCTAAATAGAATAAATATTCAGTAGAATATGCATTCCTTTTTCATCATACGTTCATGCTTATAAAATTATTTCAAGTAACTTCGGAAGAACAACAACATCATCCTGTTCTACAGATCTACATGAAAGTCACCTAAATGTCTTACTTATGAATCAGATTTAACATAAGAGATTTTCTAAATTGGATTGGTGTCTCTTTAAGATTCACGCTCATGAGAACAAATCGAAATGAATCTTGACTCTGACTTTTCCTTACTTTTGTACAATCCTGAGGAATAGTGAATCGAACCTCGAAAATATTTATCATTTTGTACTCTTTCTACCGAACAATAAAAAATTGTATCGATTCACATCGAATTTTAGTATCCACAAATTTTACAATCTGACGTTTGATCAATTTCATGGGTAGATTAGTAACAAAAGATCAAGTCCAATACAGTCACAATAATGAAATACGAAACATTGTTTTGAATGCCATTGCGGCAGGGGCAGGCTTTCAGTCGCGATAGACAGTTCATTCAATTACAAAGTGACTGATTCATTACATTGCATACAGCCACATCTGACCTAGTTTAAAGCATGCCGGATGACTACAATTAAATTTTAGTTTTTGGAGTATTGCTAACTTTAGAGTCCGCACTAACAGCAATGTCGAAGGAACATGTTCATCTTTGGGATTTATTGATTTCATCTTATGAGTTCATTCAAACATATAGACCTTGATCGATAGCATGGAATAAAACGAATTTTCTTTCGAAAATTTTTGTTTGAATTTAGTGGCGGTAATCAGAATAACAAGGCTACTAGAAAAAATACAATTCAACTATTTTCCCATAATCAATTTGTTATGAATTTTTGGATTAATGATTGAGATCATATTATGATTGTTTTTTTTTTTCTCACGAAAAACGAAAATATTAAAAATTAGATTAACTAACTCATTGAATCTTTTGCCATAAGCCAAAGAAGTGTACAACATTTTGCACTAACATCAGCATTTTGTTCATGTTTAGTCATTATTTGAACTAAATGTGAAGCTATTCGTGCATTATTCAAAAGTTTTGCATCTGAAATTTTTATAAATAAAATATATATTGAATTAGTTTATAAATATAAATTTTACCTTGTGTTGCAAGAACTATAAGTATATCAGCTATTTTTTTAATTATATCTTCATTATTTTCATATAACTATATATGAGTAGAAAAGAAAAACATAATGATATAAATAAAATAAAATAAATAAAACATACAGGTATCATTTTTCTAACAAATGTTACAGTTTGTGATGTAATTATCATATCATTATGAATTATTTTAACTAAAAGTTCAAGTGTATTTTGAACTATATTTGAATTTGATAGAAAATGTTCAACAATAGGTATTATATCTTTTTGAAAACATATTGCCAATGATGATAAATCAACCTATTAAGAAAATATTTTTTTTTCTCTTTAGTTTTTCTTTTACTTGATAAATATAAATCAAGAAATTTACTGATTTTGATCGATTACATAATTGAATTGCATATTCAATACGACTTTCAGCATTACGATGTTGTTTTAAATAATCAAGATAATATTCAAATTTTTCATTATTTCCTAAATCTAGGAAATAATTTATTTAAAAAACAAAAAATAAATAGATCTTTATATATATATATATATATATGATTAAATACCATTACGAGTTTGTTGTTTATCACTATGAGATGGATATTTCATTTGACTTGAATCAATATTATGCATATTTTCAATAATATATTCATTATGTAGGAAATCTCTATAGGAGAAAAACAAATTAAAGATTATCAGTAATTTGCTCATAGTTTATGATACAGTTAGTTTAAAAATGTACATATTGATATTCATATTAGCCTACTAAAGATGTTTTATGACAAGATGCCAATAGGGTTTTCGATACATTTCGACAATTATTATGATTACAGTAAGTCTCAAATAGAGATTTACAAGGTAAGTTTTTTTTTCGCATCCTATACATCTCTACTCTCACGCATCAACTAAAATTTACTGAAAGTTTGATGCAGTGATTCTTAACATCTATTGTTATCTATTGGAATTCTTTTTAGAAATTTATGAAGTTTTCAAGTAAGGCCATTATTAATACAAGGTTAATCATTTTTCTAAAAATTTGATCAAAATTAACCAACAACGATTATTCAGACTAGAGATGTGTGGGATCAAGTTTTGTGGTTCTAGTAATTGCTTTATCCATCTTTTCGAAGAACTTTAGGTTTTTTGAATGCCGGCCTACAAAAGACTATTCCAAAATTTATTTGTATCAAATTTGGAGTAATTCTTCGACACTCGGTTTTTGTTTTCGATTTATTTAGTCTATAAACAGGACTTCTTTGAATCATCTCTCTTGATTTATATTCTGATTGGAATGATTTATAACGTCATTGGTTTAAAACCATAGAATATTTTACTATAAACGTGATTGTCGGTCTCGGTAATTTTTTGTTTTTGTCTCGTAGTTCTAGTCCTAGTCTAAGCATCTTTCCTGTAGTCCTGTAGATCGTTAATTCAGACTCATATAACCTTTTAATAACTCTATTTTTGAAAGATAGAATTCAATTTAATGAACAATATATGTATATATTTGAACAATTTTAACCTACTCTTCTTTGAGACGTTCTTCAGGATTTGGAACTACCATTTGACCGATCAATGTTGATATTGTTTCATGTACCTAATTATAAAAGAAAAATAAATATTTTCTCTATAAATCCTTCTATTAACTCACATTTTGTAAATTTTCAAGAGTTTCAGATAATGTACTAGCATCATGTCGAGCACAAATACGTAATTGTAATGTTTCTTCATCCTATTTAAATAAACAATTACAAAAAAAAAAAACATTTTCGAACTGATTTCTTACTGTTAATGTATCACAAGTAATCATATCCAAAAGTATACAACCCAATGAATATATATCCGATTGTATTGTATATTGTCCTGATTCCAATATTTCTGGTGCTGTATACGAAAGAGCACCTAGAAAAATTCAATACATCATATAAATTTTAAATTCATAATAAAAAAGAACAACAAAAAAAAAACCGCGTCAACAGCAAAAATATTTCATACAATAAAAACAATATGCTTTATTTTCTTTGTTTCTTACTATGACATTTAATACAACTAGATTCATCAATTGATAAACCTAGATCTCATGATAGACAAAAAAAAGAAAAAAACAAGGAAAATATCATTTGATAGACATGAATACATACGACGAGGTAATCGTGTTCGCATACGAAGATCATAAGCAACAGATGATGGAATTATATCACCAATAATTACTGAACAATTTTCTTCATTATTTTCACCACATAAATAAATACAATCTGGTTTTAAATTTCTGTATTTAAAATTATAAGATTATTCAAAGAGAATAAAACAAAAGTTTTTATTTTTCATTTTACCGATGAATAATATTTTGATTCCATAAAAACATTAAACCATCTAAAATTTGTGCAAACCACATATCAACTAACTAATAAATAAAAAGACAAGAAATGAATATTTTAAATTGATTTATTTTCATAATTTTACTTGATTATTAAGTACACTTTTTTTATTTCGTAATTTTTGTAAATATATATCAAGATTTCCCATTGGAAAATATTCAGATATAAGATTAATAAATGTTGCACTAATCTAAAGAAAAATTTTTAAATTATTTATTTAGAAACAAAAAAAAGAAAAATCATCATACTTTATGTTCAACGGATGTAAATATATCAAAATATAATGAAACATTTTCATATGATAAGTTCAATAAAGGAAGATACTAATTTAGAATAAAAGAAAATTAAAAACAACAAACGGAATCATTTAAGATTTATACTTCTTGATATGCTACAGCAGTTGTTGCCATATCCATTAATTCCATCTAAAATTTAAAATAATCAATTGATATAGAAATTTATAAGATAACAAAAATAAAAACAAACTTTTGACAATAAATAAGTTTTATTTGATTCTTTTTGTCGAACAATAATTCGTTCGGCAAGTGTATCTAAGCCAAGATTTTGATCAATCTTAAAGAAAATAATTAAAATAATAATCATATGAATTTAAATGTTATACTTACAATATATTTATCCATTTTACAAAAAAAAAAAAATTTTTCTCTATGAAATTAAAATTAACAGAATAATTTTGATTGCCATTGATCAGTACTATCCTTTAGTAACAACCTCTTTATCATTTTAAAAATATTTTTATAATAAATAAATAATCTTCTTTCGAAACATTTTCTTTCAAACTATTAATTGCAATTAAAAAGAAAAAGAAAGCGCGTAATTTTTCAATGCACGACATCTACTAAATCAAATCGATCGTTTGGTCTTTTTGATAGGATACAACAACCATTCATATAAAAGTACTGATAAATCTTGGAACAGTAAGAGAAAACCATATTAATCTTTGTAATTTCTTAATCAAATTCAAATTTATATTATTAAATATTCTAGATGACTGAAGAAGATATATCTGCCTTAGTTACTTCAATTGATGAAAATGATATTGAAATAATTCCTTCTAATGGTTCTGACATAAATGATCAATTGAATTTTATATCTGAACATTTTTCAATTGATAATAGAAATTTTAATCCACCAATAGTTCCTAGACAAACAATACAATTAAATAATGATGATTCTGAGGTTTATATTCAATAAATAACTTTTTTTTCTTAAAATTTAACTTTTTATATTTTAATTTTTGTAAAGGAATTTGAAGATGAAACATTAATTGAACGTCTTTATGGTCTTACTGAAATGTTTCCTAATTGGTTACAAACATTCTTTCAAAATTCTTTTCATTATTCAAAATATTTTGGTCAATTTATAAAAAAAACTATTTGGTTTTGTAGTTCATCATTTATTATTCTTCTTCTTCCAATACTTGTTCAACTTGAATTTTCACAAGTAGCTGAAATGGAAGCAGCACAAACACGTCAAGTAAATTTTAATATAGATATAAAAATTAAAAAACTCTTTTTTTTTTATCAATTAGATTCTTCTTGGACCATCCGCCCAAATTGGATCAAATTTTGGTTTTGGTCAAAAATAGATTAGTGTGATATATCGAACACAATAACTTTTTTTTTTCCCTTCCGACGAGTCACCTTCTTATGTTCTGTTGTACAGCAACTGTTTTAGTTTTGTTTTCTCTTTTTTCAAACGAACTCTTTGCATTCTTGATTCATTCTTATTTTTTATCACTATGACAAAAGTGAAAGCAAAAAGAAAACATCATACTAAAGTATTATGTATTGGTCTTTCAAATCAATTATAAACATGAGAAACGAAGTTTCTTTTGTTTATATTTTGATAGAATATTATTTTGATTCTTAAAGTATGCATTAAAAATATAGAAACATTTCTAGATTTTTTCGTAAAATCAAAATTATAACAACTTACAATCATGTTGGATTTTGAAGTAAGAAAAAAGTATCTCTCTTTAATAGTTATTATTTAATTGAAAATTGTTTATTTTTTAGTATACACCATATGGTGGTGGTGGTTCGGCTCCATCAACAATGAATCAACAAGGTTAATTTGTTGTTGTTGTTTGTTTTTTTTATTTCTAAATCACTTTGGTTTTTTAATAGAAATGGATCATTACTATGGAGGATCGTATGGTGGTGGAGTTTCAAGTATTAGTCGACGTGAAATTATTGAACATTTTGCAGAATTTCGTCGAGCTATTCATGAAGGACCTGTTTCACTTGTTCAACATTATTATAATACAAAGTACAGAAAATCAATTATGTTATTGAAATGATTTTATTAACTTTTTATTTTTTGTTAGTTATGCAACAATGATGCAAAATTATAGTACAGAATGGCCATCAGCTGAAGCATTGAAAGAACATGTTGGAGGTTTGTTTTGATTTTATTACTAATATAATTACTACGAGAAGTAATGTAATTGTATGAAGAGTAAACTCTGTATGAAATATCGTTTTGAAATCAATTGAATCATTTTCAAAGTTTCTTTCATTCAATAGACTCTAAAGAGTAACTACTAAAATTGTAAAGTTCAGGCTAATAAATTTTTTTTTTCAAAAGTATGTGAGACATATGAATAGTTTAAAAGGATTATTTCTAATATGTATAAGCAAAAGACAATTATTCCAGACAATATCAAGTATATATATGAAAGCGAAAATATAAAATTTGACAGATTTGAAACAATATCATTTTGATGATTTACAGTAAAAAAGAAATCTATCCTTATCAGTGAAATTCATTCATTTTGTATACAAATCGACTAGTCTCATGGAACCCCTCTTTTCAGATTTTTTAATTTTTTCGATCTTTTGTATTTCATTACTAATATAGCTTCGAAGTATCCTCTATCATATGCAATATAAATGATAGCTATTTGTTTTATTAAGTCCAACTCTCGAAATTTCTTGCGAAAAATAAAAAAAAGGTTCTAGTACATAAAGAGAGTATTTGTTTTTCGTTTTTCTCAAAGTATAGAATCGCTCTAGTTTCTTTAGTGCAATATGTTCGATCACGTTGAAATTTTTTTACGAATGCTGGATACTATTTGGTGCCTCTATTTATTTTTTTGTTTTCAAAAATATTGTACCATTGACTTTTGCTAAAGTTTTATTAAAAAAAAAAACAAACATGTAGAAGATAAAAAGAAACTAAAAATCATTTAAGCATTTCAAACAGTGAAAATTTACAGCTCTATTGGATTTATTGCGACTGAGCAAGAAAGACGACTTTTAGCCGTTGAGGCTACGATATTTCCTAGAAAGAGGTATTTGAAATCTATGACAACTTTTGCTCTACTCATTGAGATATATCTATTTTGAAAGTTTCATATGTTTTTGATGAGCCGTTCTTTGAAAACTTCGGAAAAGAAGACAAGATTCTCTTAGGCTTGACAAACATTTCTAAAAAGGCTAAACTAAAGAGATAATCTATTAGTCTAAAATCTCTTAAATTGCAATAACTAGAAAATAAATTTTTTGAAATTATTATTAAACTTCAAACAATTCAAATGTGAAAAATTTTCTTCTTCGCTTATTTTCCCTTTATTATCTTATTATTTCTTTTTAGATGATCCATTATTTCTTACTTTATACAAAGAAATGTACTTTCGACATATTTATGCATCAAAACCGGTAGAAATGTTTTTCAAAAAACAAAAAAAAAAAAAATCTTTATTTAATTTTTGTTTCTATAGGGTGGTGTTTCATTAGAAGAACGACAAGAATCTTATATGAATTATATTGATCTATTTAATTTGGTTTTAGCAAAAGAACAACCATTAAAAATCGAATTACCTGATCAATGGTTATGGGATATAATCGAAGAATTTATTTATCAATTTCAATCATTTTGTAATTTTCGTACAAAATTAGCTAAACGTACAGATGATGATATTGAGCAATTAAAACGCAATATTAAAATTTGGAATGTTCATGCTGTACTTAATGTTATGCATAGTCTTGTTGATAAATCACGAATTGTTGAACAATTAGAAGCAGCAAGAAAAGGAGGTAAAACAATAAAAAATGATCAATTTTTTTATCTTTATATGATTGTTGAATTTTATTTTATTTCTTAGAAACATTCAATGCTGGCAGTGATTTATTTTGTCAAACAAATCTTTATAAAATGTTTGGATATTTTAGTTTAATTGGTTTATTAAAATTACATACATTAACAAGTGATTATTATATGGCATTAAAAACAATTGAATGTATTGATTTAGATGTTACAAAACAAGTAGATTTAAAATTCTATTTATTGAAGAAAAATAATTTCTTTCGTTTTTTTTTAGAATGATTTTTGTCAAGTATTTCATTGTATTGTAGCAACAAATTATCATGCTGGTTTTTGTTATACAATGATGAGAAATTATGAAGATGCTATAAGTGTTTTTGTTGATACATTACTTTATATTCAACGTAGTAAACCAATTATAGTTGCTCAAACATTTCAAAATGATGCAGTAAGATGAAAAAGAAAAGAAAAATAAAATAACAACATCAAATAGTTTGTTTTTATTTAATTTATTTATTTGAAATAATAAATAGGTTAATAAAACAGCTGATCAAATGATGACATTACTTGCTATTTGTTTGACATTAAATCCTATGCGTATTGATGAAACAATTTATTTACATTTACGAGAAAAATTTCTTGATAAATTACCTAAACCATTACTTTGGGTTGGGTAAGTTTGACTTTTATTTTCATTATATTTAATTTATTTTTTATTTATTTAGACCTGATGGAAAATTACCATTTCGAGATAGTTTTGCATATGGTAAATCAAGTTCAATATAATAGAAAATATTTATTTAGTTTTCTTATTCTCATAAGTTTAATGAAATAGTAGTGAATACAAAGAAGTTTGTTGATTTAAACTCGAACATCTTTAGTTATTTATTGAAGAAGACAATAGATGTTGTGTTCTCAATTACATTATCAGTTAATAGAGTTTGTACATTAACTGGAATATGAAATAAAACAGAATTTGTCTTGAAAAATGAGAATATATTGCAAGGATAGAAGACTATGAGTTTTTCAGAATTTTTTTGAACATCCAGTATTATTAGTGAATTTCGGTACGTAAAAAAGTTGGTTTAACAACATTTAGTAGATAATAACGCCTATTTAAATTTCAGAAAAGTTTTTCAAACAAAACCTTGATTTTCTAGGTAAATATTAGTCACTAGCAGAAGGACATATTTGAAAAAGTTATATGAATCTTCATAATAGAAAGCCAGAAGGATGCACTAATTCTAGAACATAATGTCAAAAATGACATTTTCTTTTTCTTAGTAAGAATGTCATTTCTGTGACTTGTTTATATCAATCTTAATTAGTTTTTTTTTGCTCTATTCAACACGATAGTCAAAAATTTATGAAATATAAAATAAAGGTTTCGGAATGAGTCAAAAATTCTCATGCTTACTATTTCTTAGGTCAAATTCAATTGATTTTCTCATCTGTTTTGCAATAGAAAAAAAAAACCTCAGAATAGCTTCGGATTAAGAATGGTCACGAATCCAGAAATATTCTAAACTTCGATTAGAAATCTAAGGAATCAATTTTTTCCCTGCAAGCGATTCTTCATGTCAATGAGCATCAATTTGAAGCGTTCTTTTCGAAGCTATTTTTAGACATATAGATCTGAAAATCAGTTGGAAATACGGATATTCAATTAATTTCGAAATCTTTGTTTTATATTTCCTGAATTTTGGTTACAACGTCGGATCAAGCAAAAAAAGCTTGTTGACAGTTGATTTAAACAATCCATACAACCGACATTCTTAATTAGAAAAAAGTGTCATTCTTTACAGCATGTTTACAGGAAGTAGAACGTCCCCAAAAGGCCATGGCTTATCATTCTAGGCAGAGAAGGCTTATTCATTCTATTTATTGATTCAATGACTATATAAAATGTAATCTGACAAGAAATGATTAAAAAACAAATTATGTAAAGATATTTTTTTCATTCAACTAAACCATGTGTTATTCTACTAAATTAATAAGGCGTTAAGTTGAAAATCCTATCTATTCTTTGAAAATCAATCTATACTCGATGTTGTTTTTTTTATGCAAGTTTTATACTGTAATAAAAATATAAATATATACGTTTTTTTTTTCATATTCAAGGGTATGTCTCGATCATAAGAAGTTTATTTCTTATGCACTGTTGAATTATTTATTCCACTAAGAATATTAACAATCCTTTTAGCATACATAAATAATATTTCAGTATAATAAATTTAGTTCTTTGTCTTTTTATTTTCTACGCAAGAATTCAATTCGACTATTTTTATCATATTATTTTTGATATTTAGCTTGTCCGAAATTTATTAGTCCAGCACCAACAATTTTCGAACAACGCAATGATTCACAATGGGCTGTAAGAATAATAGTTGATATTTGAAAAAAAAAAAAAAAAATTCAATTTTATTCTATGTTAGGAACCATTTAATAGACAAATAGAAGTCTTTACGGAAGAACTTCAAGAACAAGCATACATTCCTGATGTTCGAAGGTAAACAAAATAAACTTGAATTAAGATTTTAATTTTATTCTTTTTTTTTCTTTTGCTTTGTAGTTATTTAAAATTATATACAACAATGAATATCGATAAATTAGCAACATTTATGGAAAAAGTAATTAAGAGTCAAATGTTGTTTTTTTTTTGAAATTTTATTGTATTTTTTAGACACCTCAAGAAGTTAAACCATTATTATTAACATTTAAAGTTTGTTTATATTTATCAAAAATAAAAACAAAAAAAATTTGTATAAAATTATTTTTATTTTAGCATAAATTAAGTGGTAATGATGCAACACAAAAAACGGAAGAAGATTTTCAATCATCAGCTGATATTGATTTTTATATAGATAAAGTAAAAAAAAAAAACACAGAAATTATTTTTAGAATTTCACTTTTATTATTATTATAGGAGATCATCTATATTGCTGATACAAAAATAACACGACGTTATAGTGATTATCTTGTCAAACAAATTCTTAAATATGAAGAAGTATGTTCTTGTTTTTTTTTTTTTTTTTTCTTATTGAAATAATATTTTCTTATTAAAGATTCAACTAAATAACCTTATATAAGTATAAGATCGTATAACAGGAAGAGAATGTTCTTTTTTTCTGCTTCATTTACATATGTAGTATGTGAGAATTTGAGACTCAAATAAATCATTTGTTATTATTAGATGACAAGTTAATAATAAAGAAATAATAGATGAAATCATCTACAAATTATTTATTGAACATTGGATACTATAAAAAAATTTGAGAAAGATTATCCTATTGTTTACTGATAGATATATTTATCAAGAGTCGAAATTAAGCATTAAAATCTATTGTATATTTATTTGAACTTCGAAAATTAATAACTTTGACCAAAACGTCTCTCGCGAAATGTCTCAATAACCTTTCGTTAGGAAAATTCCGACTAATTAAAATAGTTTTTTTTTGAGTACTACTAATAAATATTACTTTTTCTTGTTAAAACGACTTCATATTCTAATTAAAAAAAGACCATCAAATTTTTCTTTGAAAAATAAATGTTCGTGACAAACTCGAATTATACGTTATGATTTCTTTTTTTTTCTTTTAGTTAACACGATCACTCAGTGAAGGTCTCAGTCCACATTACAGTGGTAACAAATAAAAAAGAAAATACGAAAAAAAAATACAAGCCCAAAAAATGATACGTCTCATCATAAATGTTTTTTTTTTTGTCTTGTCTTGTTACTGTTGTTCTAATTATTTTATCTATCAAAAAAAAAACACATGCGTTTTAATATATCAATCATGATGATGAGCAAACAAAAAAAGACCTAATAAACATCAACATCAGATCGTTATTTGATATAAATTGATGTATTTTATCACTAATAGCACAGTCAATATTTGCTAACAATGCTAATGACAACAACAAAAAATCAATATGTATTTTTAATTGAAACTATTTAAAAGAATATTTATCGATTTATTTAAATGCAAAATGATCTTTTGAAAAGAAACAAAAAAAAAAAACTAGGGCACTAGATGATAATGTACATTTTAAAATACATTTTTATAATTGAAAAAACAAATTGTTTACATGCTTTTAAGACCTTGTTTGTATTTTTTTATGTCACATTATTGACTACTTAAAACGATTGAGTGGTTTTCTTAGATAAACATAAGGTGAATATTTGAAATAATTTATAGAAAACCTAAAATACAGTTACTTTACAAACTTTAATGATTGAATAATTCACTTAAATTTTTTTTTTTGTTTTGTCTATTATGTTTTTTTTTTCAATGCATATCAACATAAGATTCATGTTTTATGCATGATAACTATTTCTTTTTTTGCATTTGAAAATAATAAGTTGGCACGATTCCCATGTTGACATGACAACATCGAGGAAGGACGAGAAAAAAGAAATTTCAAATATTGTAGTTCTTTAATGGTGCGTCATAAAGAGGAAAAAATCTAGAGGAGATGTAAGGAGAATGTGGAGAGGGCGTGAGGTACAGAAGAACAAAAAAAACATCAAGATTTTGCGATGGATGCTAAGAATATCAAAGAAGGAAGAGAAATGTATGGTTCGATGTTTGTCTCGCTGTTGATTGGTTCATGTTGCTATTTATACGAAATCTGAGTAAAGAAATAATAAAAGAATGGATAAATAGTAGTAGACTGCACAGCTGATGATGAAGACATAATGAATCAATAAAAGAAGCAAAAAAAATCTAAGGTTCTTTTTTTCATTGAATAAAACCATCATACCTATACGAAATCGCTTAATGTTAATGTTTATTCATCTGTCATTCTCACATATTTACGTCAAATTTTAATCAAATACGTTTGTTTCTTATTATTTTGGGTCAAATAGTATTATCTATATTTAAAAGTGAACCTCATTTTTTTTTCAAGTATTAGCGGCATGAATTCATCTTCTGATTGATCAAAGAAAGAAAGAAAAATACAACAAGGCACATTTTTCTACAATTTACATCGTTACGATACTAACAACGAAATAAAACATTCAGGTAAGAGACATAAAAACAAAACAAAAAAAAAAGAAAAATTATATGCTCTCAATAATATAACATATGAAGGACAACTTTCGTTTTACGGCGTAATGAAATACACATTACTATCTTTGATTATATTTATTTGTGTAAGTTTAATGTCTTATAGAATACAACAAAATAAAAATAAAATTTCCTTTTTATTTTTTTTAAGTTTAAATACATTTCATCAGAATGTATTTGGTATGAAGGTATACGTGATGGTTTTAATCAAGTCTATCGAAATGGTAAACCAAAACCATTACCATTAGGAGATATTAGTCTTTTAAATGAAATATGTCCACATATTCCAACAACTGAAGGTTAATTTTCTTATTCGATTGAGTTTCTATTGTCAGAGAAAAAAACAAATAAAATGTTGTTTTTCTTTTATTTTTCAAGGTGTTTCACCTCTTTTATGTTGTGATCGAAAACAATTAGCTGAAATACAAAAATTTAAATATATTCTTGATAATTTAATTGGTCGATGTCCATCATGTTATTTTAATTTTTTACGTATTTTTTGTGAAATGTCTTGTAATTCAGAACATAGTCAATTTATATGGCCATTAGAATTGTCTAATATAACTCGACCTACTGAAGAAGTTTCTGTTAAAGAAAATGATGATGTTGGAATAAGAAATGATTGGGCTCTAGATGATTATGTTGATCCTGAAGAAGCAGTAGATGCAGATGCAGTTACATCAAAAAGTGTTACAAAACCTGTTGAAAAAGTTGAAGTTATTACTAAAATACGATATTTTATATCAGAAAAACAAGCAAATGATTTTATAAATTCATGTTGGTAATAAAAAGACATTATTTTTTTTTTCATTAATTTAAATAATCATAATTTTTCTTTTTCTATCAAAAAGGAGTGTTCGTATTAATTTTCAATATGCTGTCGATGTTTTATGTGGTTCATTAAATCGTGCATGTGATGTTAAAAAATTATTTCAATATATTGGTTTAAAAAATGCTCAAGCACCAATTAAAATTGAATTTGTTTTTGTTAATGGTACATATTATGATCCTGAAATAAAACGTAAATTTAAACCATCAAAAGCAAAAATGTTTGCTTGTGATGAACCAGTTGTATTACCATATTTATCAAGAGAAAAATGTACTTGTATGGATTGTAATGCAATGTGTCCAAAAGTAAATCATACAAAAAAAGATATTTCTATTCCTAAAAATAGTACAATAATACAAAGATTTAAATTAAAAATTTATCAACTTCATATTGTAACAATTATTGCTATTGGAGTTTATATTATATTTGTTATTTTATTTATTTTTTCATGTTTACTTATATGTATATGGAATATAAAAAGTAATAAAAAAAATTATCTTGCTGAAAGTAAGAAAAAAAATTTTAATTTAAAAAAGAGAAAATATTTTGTTCTTGTTTTTTTTGCTTGTTAGATATGCGAAATGATCAACTAGATGGAATTGAATGTGAAACAAAAAATCTCAATGAAGTTCAAAATAAAGATGAATCTGATTCTGAATCATCATTTACTGAAAAACCAAGTGGTTTCTTAGATCGAATAGGAATAACAATTGATGATGGTTTACATCGTATATTTACTGCGTATGTATTTTATATTCCTATTGAAAATAATAGTTTATTTTGCATATTTTTAGTATTGGTCTATTTTGTGCTTACAATCCAAGATATACAATTATACCTGTAGTAACAATAATATTTGTTTTATGTTTTGGTAGTCGTTATTATACAGTAACAACAGATCCAGTTGATCTTTGGGTAGCATCAAATTCTCGAGCACGTCAAGAAAAAGCATATTTTGATGAAAAATTTGGGTAAAAAAACTTATTTTTTTTTTGTTTTATTTATGTATTTATAAATTAAAACAAATAATTTGATTTTAGACCTTTTTATCGTATTGCACATTTAATACTTGTACCAAAAATTAATAAAACTATTAGTCTTCTATATAAAACTCCATTAGAAGCTGAAGAAAAATATACATTTGGACCTGTATTTGAACGAAATTTTCTTCTTGATGCATTACGTTTACAATTATTTGTTGAAAATTTTAATGTAACAACTGAATCTGGTAAAATAATTTATTTAAATGATACGTGTTATAAACCACTTGAACCCGATAATAATAATTGTGCTATATTATCATTATTTCAATATCATCAAAATAATTTAACATTTCTATTAAAAGAACGTTTATATCCATCACAATATCTTGAATGTATTCAAGCACCATTAACACAACAAACAAAATCATTTCATCGTACATGTATGGGTAAATATGGTGGTCCTATTGATCCTTATATGGTACTTGGTGCATTTCCATCACATGATGGTGTACCAGATTATGCTAAAGCTCAAGCACTTATTATAACAATAACAATAAATAATCAACGTAAAAATGAAGAAAGTGTTAATGAAAAACTTGAAAATACACTTTTATGGGAAAAACATTTTTTAGAATATATGAAAACATATCGTTCAGAATGGTTTAATGTTAAATATCGTGCTGAAAGATCAATTGAAGATGAAATTGAACGTGAATCAAAATCAGATATTAAAACAGTACTTATATCATATTTAATTATGTTTCTTTATATTGCTATTGCATTAGGTCGAATAAGAAATATTCGACATCTTTTTGTTGATATGAAAGTTTCATTAGGTATTGCTGGTGTTGCACTTGTTACTCTTAGTGTATGGTCTAGTGTTGGTATTTTTTCATATATGAAAATTCCAACAACATTAATTATATTTGAAGTTATACCATTTCTTGTATTAGCTGTTGGTGTTGGTAAGTCAAAGAGAAAGAAAATAGAAAGAATACTCATGTTTTTTTTCGATCATAAATCGCTGCCGTCTATTGACAGTTTCAGTAATCTGATACCTTCATGTTAGTTGTAGCTAAGGACACAGGCCTAGCCTGACGCAGAGTTTTTGCGATCCTCATACTTGTTAACTGATGACAATAGCAGATGTTGTATGTAACAATGTAATCGGTATGTTATCAGGAAGATAATCCAAAACAAACAGTCATTAGTGATTTGTTCAGGGTTATTTCATGATTGATGATATCAAGGTTTGAAAACAATATCTTGTGGATATATGTCGAACTACATAGTCATTCAGTAGATTCACATAGGATATAATAAGTGTTTTATCTTAGTGAGTAAAGTTCTAAAGGATATTATATTAATTACTAAGAAAAGAAATATCAGAAATTTTATTCTTTTTCACTAATTAAAAAAAAAAAACATGTTTTTCTTTAAAACAAATCAGTTTTATTCAAATATAAAATTTAAATAAAAACTTGATTATGACTTTGATCTAAACCATTGTAGACCAAACTATTAATATTATATATTAATTTCCTATAGTAGACATAGAATAAACTATTGCATTCTTATAAACATGATTAACACATCTATAGAGAGTTACAATGAAATGTAGCATTACTATTCTAATGCATATTTCATTATTAGTGTTGAAATGCTATATATGAATTTTCAATAGAATGATAGTAACAGATCGATCAGTTTATTCTTTGAGATACAGAATCATTGTATGAGAAATAATGTGATTACTATTTTCAAAGAGAAAATATTCATTATTATCAGATCTTTTGAAAATAAACAAATGTCTATAGAGAATTTAAACAAAACAATTTCCTTTTCAAATTAAATATAATAGACAATATGTTTCTATAGAAAAATTTTCTTTTATTCATTCATTCAATAGATAATATATTTATATTAACTCAATCAATTCAACGTGATCGTCTTTTACCCGATGAAGATGTTGAAAGTCAAATAGGTCGTATTGTTGGTCGTGTAGGTCCAGCTATGTTATTAACATCTGTATCTGAAAGTATTGCATTTTTTCTTGGTGCATTAACACCAATGCCAGCTGTACGTTTATTCAGTTTATATGCAGCTGTATCTGTTTTAATTGATTTTTTTCTTCAAATAACAATATTTGTTACATTTATAACACTTGATCATAAACGAACAATTGAAAATCGTATTGATGTATTTTGTTGTTTACAACTTCCACGTAAAAAACCAGATAATAAATCTCGTGGTTTTAGTTTACCACAAGTCAGTTGGTTTACACCTAAAATTAGTAAAAAAAAACCTTCTACACCAACATCTCCGAATCCATTACCAACACCATTAGCATCAATAAAATCTAATGAATCAAATAAAAATGTTTTTCCTCAATCATCAAAAATAGAACCATGTGAAGAACATCTAATGGAAATGGATGGATTTTTATTTGGTTTATTTAAACGTTATTATGCACCATTTATAATGAATCGTTATGTACGACCAACAGTTATATTTTTATTTTTTACATGGTTAGCAATGAGTATTGCTTTATTACCATATGTTAAAGTTGGTTTAGAACAAGATATAACAATGCCAAAAGATTCATATATGATTGATTATTTTTCAGCATTAAGAGAATATTTTGCTGTTGGACCACCTGTCTATTTCGTTATTAAACAAGGTAATAAGAAATAAATTTCTCGAAATTTTTTTCTTTTTATTATATAAAACACATAATTTTGTTTGTTTTTAGGTATTAATTATGCTGATGTAAATGCAAGTACTCTAATATGTTCAAGTGCTGGTTGTTCACCTCAATCAATGGGAAATCAATTAGGTATTGCATCGTTACGTCCATTTGAAACACGTATAGCTCAAATAGGTACAACATGGCTTGATGATTATTATGATTGGTTACGTCATCGTGGTGCAACACCATGTTGTCGTTTATATGAAACGACAGGAGATTTTTGTTCCACCAATGCACCATCAAATGCAAATTGTCATCTTTGCACGCGTAGTACAACACGTGAAAGTTTAACACAAGATGAATTTAGAATGTTTTTACCATATTTTTTAAAAGATAATCCAAATTATAAATGTGCTAAAGGTGGTCATGCAGCACATGGTAGTAGTGTAACATTATCAGCTGAAGATAAAAGTGTAGAAACAAGTTTAATTATGGGTTATCATAGTCTTTTAATAAGTTCAGGTGATTTTATAGAAGCGATGCAACAAGCATATATTTTAACAGATAATATAACACGAACATTAAAAGCAGCTGGTTATGATGTGGAAGTTTTTCCATACAGGTATGAAGAAAGTGTTTAATTCATACAATAAGAATATTATTTTTCGTTTTAGTATATTTTATGTATTTTATGAACAATATTTAACTATTTGGCATGATGCACTGATGAATTTATCAATATCAGCAGGAGCTATTTTTGTTGCTACATTTATTTTACTTGGTCTTGATATTATGTCAGCATTTATAATAACATTAACTATTTCTATGTAAGAAATTTCTTAAAAAGATTTCGTTTATTGTTGAAATGAAATTATTCAACATAAAGATTTAAAACAAAGTAGCTGCGAAATTTATTCAATCGGATTTATTTTCAAATATTTTCCGCTGTCTTAAATGCTAATAAGAAATCTTACGGAAGTCACAAAAATAATTTTTCTATATGAAAGAACGACTTTTATGCCTTCCATATGATTGATAAATGTAGATAAGTGGAAATTGTTTCATTTTGTAGAGAATTACCAGCTCTATTAATCTAAATAGTTCAAAAAGAATACTATTTGCAAAAGTTCAGCTCTTCGAAAACTCTATCCCTGAAAAATTTACAATCATTTTCATATTCAGAAATTCTTGTTGAAAATAAAATTCACTTTAAAAATTATATTTTAGATTATTTATTAGTATTTATGATAATTGAAAATTAACTTGATCGAATAATTTTGAGAGTTATTGTAAAACTAAAATTTTAATCCTATATTTCTTTTAGGATAACTTGTGATATGATAGCTATGATGTATATATGGAATATTGAAATGAATGCTATTTCACTTGTCAATCTTGTTATGTCAGTTGGCATATCACTTGAATTTTGTGCACATATATGTCGTGATTTTATATTATCAGCTAAAACTTCACGTTTAAAACGAGCTGAAAAAGCACTTGCTTATATGGGCAGTTCAGTATGTTAAAATTATTTATTTATATTGATTAAAAAAATTTCGAACTAATACAAAATTCTTTGATCTTTATTTAGGTTTTTAGTGGTATAACATTAACAAAAATTGGTGGCATTGTTGTACTTGGCTTTTCACATTCTCAACTTTTTCATATATTTTATTTTCGAATGTTCATTTGCATTGTTTCATTTGGTGCTGCTCATGGCTTAATATTTTTGCCTGTTTTACTCAGCTATATTGGTAACATAAAAAAGAAAAAAGAAAAAACGAATTTAATTATTTAAAATTATTCTTTTCTTTGAGGTCCGAGTCCTAATCATATACGTAGAACTCGTATACATCGTTTAAAATCAATTAGAAAATCACTTCGATTACAAACGACATCAATTGAAATGTCCTAAAATTCGAATGTTTCATTCAAGCAAAAAAAAATCAAAAAAAAAGATATGCATTTGTCTCGAATTGAAATGATCTGTATATCGAAACAGCAAAAAACAAAATTGTAATCTCATTTTTATCATTGAGAGAATCTCTTTACCGGTGTACGTTATACCTTGTTGCTACCGAAATATATATATTTTTTTCTTTCGTTTCTATCTTTTGTCCATTCGTACATCACCGTCCATATTGTTTATGTACAATTTACTATCGAAAAAACAAAAACAAAAAAAAAAAATGTTTTTTTTCTCTTTATGATTTTTTATTGTTTAGTTTCGTATGTCAAAAAATAGCAGAGATCAGTAGGAAATTTTTCTTTCAATGTTCTGTGTTTTTTTTTTTATTAATCTTTGTCAGTTGTTTTATTCTTTGTCGGAAAAGCGAGAAATTCCTTTATACACATATATTTATACCCGATCGCCATCCAAATAACAGGCATGTCACTGACAAGTCAGATGCTGATATTTTTTTCTTCTTTCTTTTTCTCCTCTATGAATATATTCGCAGCGCATTCCTGAAGTGGTTTTTTTTTTTTTCTTTATTTTTGTTGCTTTTTAGTTTTTCGTTTGTTTGTAGAGCGTATTCATTCTATTTATTATTTGTTTTTCTTTTAGTGCTTTGTTTTTTTTTTTTTCCTTTGTTCGTTGGTTTTATTTTCATCACTCAACCGCGTTTGTTGTTATTTATCAGCTGTTCACATTGCACACATTATGCTTCAGTATGAAAAAAAATATATATACAAAAAAAGACAATGTAAAATAATTGGTGATATTATCTAGGTTAATGAGCAAATAAGACTTAACTAACACAATTAGATTTGGAAAATTTACTTCTATCGGAAAGAAAGAAGAATAAGTTTATCTTGAAACTACATCGTGATCTGGTATGCTTTCTAGCGATAGACTCAATATGTCAATAGCTTGATACTAGCTATAAATTTGGATAGAAGGGCAGGTTGACATAAAATTCTTGTCCTACGGACATATATTCACTAGAGACGAGAGCAACTGTTGTATGTCACAACCTAGTCAACATGTTATCGGACGAGTAATCCGTGACACATAAAAATATTCTTGACTTTTCCAGGGTTATTCTCTGGTTGATATGGTACTTAGGTTTGAATACAGTATCTTGTGGTTACGTGTCGAAACAACACACACATTAGCACCCTACTTGTCTTGATTGATATTCGATGAGAAATGTGTTGATAAATTTTCATTTATCGAAAATTACTTTTGCATAATAGTGAATCTTCTGAGAAGATGATATATTCCCCTGAGGTAAATTCGATATTTCATTAGATCCTATAGCATTAGTAGAGCGGTTAAAGGTTACATTTTATATGTTATTCCAATACTTGATAATTCTATTTTAATTATGTAAATAATAAACTTTCCGATCAAACATAAATTAAATAATTTCATGTGAAAGTCAATACCAAGAAAATAACTTTATTGATAGATATGTTGCTTATATAATTGAAATTTACGAATTTATATTTTTGACATTTATATATTCATGTAAAATTCAAATAAATAGTATCTTGAAAAAGAAAATAATATTTAAATAAAAATGATCTATACTTAACCTATATTTATTGATTAATTAAATATTTGATAAGTAATATAAATTTTGTTGAGATATACTTATATCCAAGTATTTATATATTGACTTAATATATATTTGATCAACAAATATCATAAAAATTCCTACAAATAAAACAATTATTTCATAATATTCAAGAGTTTATAGAAAAGGTCATGTTAATAGATTACATTTCAAATTCTTCAATAGAATATCAAAATAAACAAATCATTAAAACTATCAAACAGATAAAATTAATATTGTATATTTCTCAAATCAATATAAGTTATACTTCAAAAAAAAAAAAAACAAACCAACAAACAAAGTCTACAAACTTGCATCATAACACATTATATCATCGGCCGACACATTTTTATATGTCATATAGATACATTTACTATTATATAAATGTATCTAACTTGACTGAAAATACTGTGCAATTTATCAACCTATAAAAAACCTATTGAGGAGACACATATTATATTTTTCATTTCTTCGTCTTCAAATCAAACATTCATTAATTACAATTCATTTGATAATTGATTCCTATGCATAGTATGCAATTTATTATTTTTTAATGGATGATTTCTTCTTTCTTTTTTTTTTTTTCCTCAAACAAGCAACGAACACACATCATTATTATCAAGGACAGAAAAACAAACAAATAATAATAAAAAAAAGAAAAAAAACCTGACATACAAATTTTAGCCATATTTCTTATTTTAAAAACAAAACAAACAAAAAAAAATGTTCTTTGAGCTTTTCTTGATGTTTTTTTCTCACTCACTCTCTCACTCTCGACATATATTCGTACATATGTACAAAACATAAAAACAAATAAATAATTATAGTATATGATGATTAGAATTCGTTATAATCAATGGTTTATTTAAATAAAGTTTATTATTTTGATCAGCATCAAATACCGGATGAATTTTATAATGTTCGATAAGTTCATTTAATGTATTAAATGAACGTTTACCAATTATATATTGACTACCATCATCAGATAATTCAATACGAAAATGACGAATTGTATTAATATCATCAAGAATACTTAATGAATAATTTCCAATCTATTAAAAACAAAAAAAAATAAAAAACAATAAATGAATTTTAATATAAAAAAAAACAAAACTAATACTCGTCGTTCACTGTCTCGTATAAGATAATCGCCTTTTTCATTTCCATATAATTTTAAATATTTTTCAGCTTCATCACGACTTAATAAACCATAATACCAAATTTCATTAATATAAGGTGAATTATTTAATGTTAAAGTTTTTAATTCATTAATTATTGTTGATGTTGAATAATCATTATGTTCTATTAATGCTGAACATGAATTTATTTTTTGTTCATCATTTAAATTATCATTATTACATATATCAAGTTTACCATCTGAATGTGCAAATTTTGATGGTTTAATAACAAATTCATATTCATTATTTGAATTTGTTATATGTAATGGATGTGAATTATAACGAATTTGTTGATGATTATGATTTTCAATTAAATTTGAATTAGCACTACTTGATGATGAAAGACCATTTGATGATAATGATAATGGTGAATTTTGTTGATTATTTATTTGATTTAATACAGTTAAAGAATTTAAACTATCAGATGTTTTCTTTTAAAAAAAAAAAAAATTTATTTATTTATTTTCAAAATTTTAATTTTTCTGTTTTACTTCAACAAGATAATTTGATGGAAACCATCCAATTTGTTTTTCATATTGTACAAGCCACCAACCATCAGTTTTCTTTTGTAAAACATTTACCCATACACCTTGATTTAAACTAATTTCATCTTCACTAAAAAAAAATATAAGATAAGGAATAATTAAATTTCAATTGAATTTTCTGCTATGTTTTTTTTTTTCGGATTTACCTTTCAGCATCATAACGAAATTTAACAAGTGCAGAAGAAATAACACGTTCAGTATGATGACTATGTGCTAAAATGGATTTTTTTCCAAGACGTTTTGATATTATTTTATCAAGTAATGAACGTTTTTCACGTCGAGCAAAATTTGATGGAATGTATCTTAAGACAAAAAAAAAATACATTTATGTATATACACTTTCATTATATCTACTATTATAATATAATCATATAACACACTTAAGATTTGCATAATAACACAAATGTCTATATATGTATATTTATGTGAAAGATGAGACAGATGTGTATGCATTTGCAAAATGACAGAAAGATGAACTTTTTTTTTGTCGGTGTTAAATGATCAAGGATAATTATGCATTTCTTTTTTTTTTTTTTTTTTTCTTTGCCAGATGGAAATTATAGACATTAAAATAATTATTTTATACGAAATGATCTTTATTAAGAAAATGAAATTAAAACAATAAAATAAATGAGACACTAGCAAAGAATATTGTCTCAAGAGTATGAATATAATGAATAATTTACATCAATCATATACATACTTATGGATTAACTATAATTAGGAATAAGAAAAGAAATGAACATGTATATAGGGAATGAATCACTTATAATTAGTAGTCGACAACTGTTTCATGTACTTACCCAGTATCATCGGAATCGACACGTTTTACTTTCCACCATAGACATGTATCATCGAGTAATATAAGACGTTCATTTTTAACAATAGTTAATTCATGACTATCTTGTGAATTATAGTTGAATTTAGCAACTACAATTTCACCAGCATCTAAATAATTCAAAACAGAACAACAAAAAAAAAAAGATCTACATTAATATTCTAATTAATTACACTTACTAATACTATTATTATTGTGTTGCATTTTGGTAGTAATATTGATGGCATTCCATCTGCAATAAAGATCATGCATTGACATCTAATTCCTTCTTTATCGTAGAGATGTATCGCGAAGAGAAAGCGAAAAGCGAAAGTGGGACTGTCAATTTACTTTATTTTTTTTTAATACAATGCTGTTTTTATCTGCGTAGGCATACAGCGAACGAACAGTTTCTTTCTTTTTTTTTTTTTAAATACTTTTCAACAATAACGAGAAGAGAAGAAAAGAAAAAACAGCATCAGCACATAGTTTATGGTTGAATGCATGATGCCACTCAAAAAAAAAGAAAAGAAGAAAAGAAAAAACGACTTGACATAATAGGTTACTAGACTCTTTCTATATATGCTTATTATACAAAAATCAGAACAATCTCATGTATATTCTTTATCGTTCGTTTCTCTTTTTTTTTTCTCCTTGCCTAGGTATAATGTACAATGGATCAAATTTTTTCTTCTTCTTCTTCTTTGGCTTTTATTCGAATGTTCATATGAAGAAAAAAAACCTTGACAAAAATCACTCGACTTAATTTTGCTATTTCAGGTGATGAACACGTTTTGTTTTATGAATGAATGAATACATGCATGCAAGCATTTTGATTGTTACTGTAATAATCATTTGTGTGTACGATGGATGAATGATTCATAATATCAATCAACAACTATTTCTGCTATCATCGAAGGACATTCTTTACTCAACACAATGAAATAAACATAACTTGACACTATCTTTAATAAAGAACAATCTTAAGTGTTACATCATTCTATTTCCAAATATCGAAATAATGATGAGAAAACCAAAAAAAAAAAAAACAAAAAAACTCTATATAATCGAATGTATTAGTTTACTATTAACACTAATATTATTAACTTTTATGATCCAGATAAAAAATCGAGGGGAGAAGAAAAACATTAAAAAAAAAAACATTAATGAAAATAAATGATATACTGACAATTACTTGAATATATTCATTGTCGTTTTAATATATGCAACGATAATTGTAATGGAAGAATAGATAATCTTTCGCACGACTTCTTCACTAATGATATACACATTTATAAACAAAAAAACGACTTTTACTAGTATATTATTGTTGTTGACAACATAAATAGAATAGATGAATGGGCAAGAATAACAATGCAAGAAAATAGCCGTGAAATAAAAATTGTATTACTTGTCAACGATCTATTCCCTTCGACTATATCATTTATCCTAACCATAATAAGAGACAATCATACAAAAAAAAAAAAAGAAGAAGAAGAAGAAAAGGAAAAAGAAAAAAAACCCATATGACGTTTATCAGCCTATTATAAAACTAACGAAGAAAACCGAACGCACTAATATGAAAAAAGAAACCTATGTACAATTATGAAAAATGATGGTTGGAGGATAAAGAATATCAATAAAATAATAATAATAATAAAACAAGAAACATAATAAACATCTATCAATATTTACCAGATTTGATAAATTTTCTTTCAATTTCAATTCATCCAATTAAGACAGACAACAAAAACATATGTTATCTTTTCTTTCTTTTTTACACCTTCGAAATAAATATATATACATATAGAATCAACACGAATGCAGGGTCAATCAAATACGGGTTACTATCCATTTAATAAATTTCATTGCATGTAGCGCCCACTAAAATATCCTTCTTATTGGTTTAAATCTCTATGCAATTAGAACTACGAACTAAAAAAAAAAAAAGAAGAATTCTTTGTTTAGTTGGACGACTACTATTTATTCTAAGAACATTTACATTCTACATAGATTCTATAATATGTCAGCATCTAATACTCCAAAGTATATTAATTAATTTTTAACTAATATTTAATAAATTAATATATATATGTATTTCTTTATTAAATATAGCCGTATACGTCATACACCTAAAACAACTCGTGCCTATGAATCAAGTGATGGTGGTACACCAAGTCCAGCACGTTTTCGTTCAAAACGTTATTGTACTAATGAAACAAATGAAAAGTAAAATTAAGCAAATATTTGTTTTGTTATGTTTATATTAAAAAAAAAATCTATTTATTTTAGTTCACCACGACGTAATAAATATCATCCGTATTCAGCTTCAATACATTTTGATGAAAATGCTAATGATCCATTTCATGATGAAAATCAACGGTATTACAAAAAAAAATAAAATATATACATATGTCTGAACGAAAAAAATAACAACAACATGAATAGCAGTTCAATGAATTTAAATATTTTGTTGTTGTTTTTTTTTACAGTTTGACCACTTATATATTAAAGTTTGACTCATAGTCAAATTTGATTCAGTTATCATTGTGGAATAAAAACTACACATTGATTTCGACAAAAATACGTTAACTGAACCATATTTTATCGATTTTTCTGTCGAAAATCGATGACATTCTAGACGACCGACAGCAATTACTAAAGAAAAAAGTTTTAGGGTGCTTGTGAAAATGAACCAGGATCAAATACGCAGTCTATTACATAAGCCTGTTCATTATTCTAAACAACAATATACTTGATTATGACGAAATATCTCTGATTCAAGTATAGTTTGTTTAACAGTTCTACGAAAAATAGTTACATAGATCAAATGTTGACATCTTCAAATTTGACCATGAGTAAAACGATTGTACTCCGACGAAAAATTTTTCGAATAAAATAAAGAGCTATCGATAAAGATTACTCTTCAAACTCTAATGATATAGATTTCGGATTGACTTTAAAGTACAGTCAAGAACTTGTCACTACAATTTTACATTTCAAAATAATCTTTCTGTACTTCGAATAAAATTTTCTCTTCAACTTAAAACCTTCTCGAACTTTCTAACATATAAAATGCTCAAGAAATGTTTTAACATTTCTTTTGTTTAGATATTTGAAATATGTTTTGTACATAGTTTAAATTTCTTTTTTGTTTTTTTATTTATTTATACTATAGAACATCAAGTAAACCATCAACACCAAATAATCGTCCGAATAGACTAAATATAAAAAATGAAGAAAGACCAAAAACACCGAAACCTAGGTAAAGCAAAAATTTTTTATTTTATTTTTAATATTTATTTTTTTATTTTTTTGTAATAGTTTTGAAGAAGAACAACAAGAATTACAAAAAACTTTATCAAAAGATTGGTGTGATAAAATGGATAATGAAGAAGCTGAAGAAAAAAAATTACATAGGTAAACAAAAAACGATATAATATTTTATAATTATTATTTTAATCTATATTAGTTTTGTACTTTATTTAAAACAATTTTCTGTTCATGAAAATAAAACAACTGAAGAAATTCTTTCATCTATTGAATGTTGTCCAAAAGGTTAAAATTTTTATATTTTATTATGAATAAATTATTATTTATCATTTATATTTCATATAGAACTTTTACGACGACAGAAAGATATAAGTAAAGGAAAATTATCTAAAGCATATCAAACATATATATCGACTATACCACGGTAGATAATCGTATGTTTTTGTTTTCTACTTATGTTTAATTTTTTTTTGTTTATAAAGAAAATCTCGTACAAGACAACATCCACGTACGCCATGCAAATATGCAAAAATGTCTCGACGTGGTTTCGATGGAGCTATTAAAGCATGGCGTCGAAAACTTCATGAATTTGGCACAGATAAGTATGTTGTTTAAACAGAAACAATAGATAATACATTCATTCAATTCTATTTGTGAATTAAATGACAAGGAAGAGAACGATCGACATTTCTTTTTTTTAAAAACGTAATACTCTTTTAACTACCTCCATCTTCGCTTCAAATATCGATCTTAACATTCAAATTGCATGAAATTTTCTGCTTTATGTCAAGATGATTTCTAGAAATAATCAATAAATGACGATCGAAAACTGCTCATATGACAACCCGAAATTCTCAATAGACTTGCTCTTTTTGTTTGAAAGAGCATGTCAAGATGTAAGCCATGACAGAGTTTTTTTTTTTTCAAATTTTTGTTTTTTAAGGGCAGAAAAAAAATAAAAAGTTCAATGTCTCAAAAAACTTTCAAAAGCGACGCTCTAATTATAAATATACTGATAGTAATTAAACTTAATTCAAAAAATGGACTCTGTCATGTTCTACTTCTTGACATGCACTGTAAAGCAAAAAAAAAATTATTGACTTCAATGAAGCTCGTTTAAGAAATTTGGGATGCGCAATTAAAAAAAACTGTTGTTTTCTGAAAACTGCACATTTTACAAGAGTATTGATAACAGAAATCATTAAAAATTTTGGCAAAAAAGAAAATGTTGGTGTTTCTGGAAGAGATATTAAAAGAAAGTTGAAGAGCAATCTAATAAAATTTTAGGTTCGAATGTCTGTGATATATTCAGTAGAAGAATAAGAAGTTTGTATGATTTTCTCAATAGGTGAATTAAAAGATAAATTTAAATGAAACACGATAAATGAATAAAATAGTTCGACGAAAGATGACAAATTAATTCCGGCATTCTAATATACATGTAACAGAACTTATCAATTAGAATCATTGAAGTATTATGTAAGCAATTTTTTTAACGAGTACTTGTTTTTATAAAAGATTGATATTATCATTATGAGTAATACTTAATGACGAAAATTCATCAATGATAAGTTTTAAATGTTCGAAAAAATAACCAAATTAGCATTTGTAAATAACTATATTCGAAGAAGAAAGAAAAATCTTTTACTAAAGAATTTATCTCAAATAATATTATTGTATTAATTACTTAGTTGTGTATCTAATCATAGATCATTGCCTACAAAGATTATAGAAATAGTGACAATTCATCATAATAGATGTGTGTAGGGTAAAGTAATCCGAATATCTGTAGTTAATTATAGAGAATATTTTAAAAATTTTGAAATAGAAAAATTACTTTTTTTGAAAAATAATAAAAATCTTTTATTTAGAACAAAAGAAAATGGTAGTAATAATAATAATGAAGATGATACAATATCATTATCATCATCTCAACGTAGTGATGGTTATTCAACACCTTCATCAACATCAATAAGCATGGAAGATATTGATGAAAATTTTCTACCCGATTTATATGATTTTGAAGAATCACTTACAATTAATCCAAATAATGAATCTAAATTTAATTCAGTTATTGATTTAGATGTAGCTGATTCAATGGATACAATTGTTAATAATGTTGATTCACGTTCAGCTATGGCATTAGATTAAGCAAAAAAATATAAATGAACATGATTATTATTATTTTTGTTGTTGTTGTTATCTTCTATTTTCATATATATATATATATATTTACTCATGTTCATTCGCATCGAATCAGAAAAGTTAAACTCGTCAGATATTTTTCTTTCTCTTCATTTGTTACTAGATATTTTTTTTGTTTCTGGTGCCTGTCAGATATATATATATATACAAATGTACGTTGTTTGGATTGCTCTATTTTTTTTTTCATATTTGTGTGCTGATATTGTTCGTTGTATATTTTTTTTTTCTCTTGTCGCCTTCATTTAGCTAGTAGATTATAACAAAAAAAAAAGAACACAAGATCAACAAAAAACATTAAGTTTAGCGATGCTTATTGTGCATTAGCTTATTATATTGAAATATCATTTCTCGAACATATAAACCATATTCTTCTTGTTTCATTTGCAGATTGAATATTGAGAAGAATGATTCATAGTCTATTTATTATTAATGGTTCAGGGTAAATATATTAGCATTCTTATCAAAAGTTTCATAATCATTTATTTTATACTGTATTTTTTTTTAGAGATGTTTTTATGGAAAAACATTGGAAAACGGTAGTAGGAAAATCAATATGTGATTATTTTTTTGAAGCTCAATCAAAAGTAAGTTGAATTATTTTTACTAATGTCAAAAATAAATATTTTTTGAATGTAGTGCGCTAATTCAGAGGATGTTCCACCTGTTATAGCTACACCTCATCATTATTTGATAAATATATTTCGAAATAATCTGTATTTTGTTGCTGTACTTACCAACGAAAGTAAGTTTGAATTCCAAATATTTGCTTAAACCTGAAATTTTGGCAATATATACAAATACTAAATACTAGAGTGCCCCTATTTATGATTACATTAGCCTTGAAGAAAAAAAAAGATATGATAGAGTGAATGAGTTTCAACAGCATATCTTGAATTCCATAGGAAGATAATTATGTCGAACTGTTCATTTGAAAAAAAAAATTACGTTGGAAAATTGTAAAATGATAAATAACTTCTTGAATTATGAATATAATTAGTGAGTTTTTCAGTGAAATACGATAATCTCTCTCAGAATACCGTAAAAACTCATATTTCAGTATGAGTTCAAACATTGTACAAATAATGTTTTTAAAATGCTAGTTTATCATGATAAGATCAAATTTTCTAGAGTCTCCAGTTCTCACATTTCCATATTAAAAGTGTTATTATGCAAAAAAAAAACATCCTACGCTCATATATTCATGTGTCAGGACAAAAAAATACTTGAAAACCTGTCATTTACAATAAACTAGCCGAATGGAGAATTTTATTTTATGCAGTTATGTTCAATCTTGAAATTCAAAAATAGACAGATCACATCATTCTTTGTTGATAAAACTCGCTAAATTGGCTATCATTGAAGAAGAAAGCTTAATAAGTATAAATCCTTTTACATGAGAGTGTTATCCAACTGATCAATTGCTTTCTCATCCAAAAGTGAATTGAAAAAAACTTTTGTTTTCGCATAAAACTCATTCCGAACAGAAAAGTTACTGTTATTACAACAATGCGATATGTTCGATAATTTCCAAAATTAAATAAAAATTTTTTTTTTTCAGACTAGAAAAAAACTGACTGAGCAATTGAAAACATTTCCTCGTTAGATTTTATCTAATTTTAATAGAACTTTTCTTGATAATGTAAAACTCATCTGAAAACTGACTTATCACTTATCAAGATTTCTTCATAAGTTCAGAATCAAAATTAAAAAAAAAACAGTTCAAGCCACTTTATTTCTAATGTGTATTATGATAGTTGCATATTCTTATGTTTTCATACTAAATCAATTGATATAAAACTTCATAAATAAAATCTTCTCGTTTGTAAACTTATTTAAATTTTAGTTGCACCACTTTTTGTCATTGAATTTCTTCATCGTATAATGGAGGTATTTGAAGATTATTTTGGTGAATGTACAGAAACATCACTCAAAGATAATTATGTTATTGTTTATGAAGTAAAACATTTAATTATCTTCTTTTTTTTTTGTGGTCTTACTTTTTATTAATTTAATAGCTCTTGGATGAAATGCTTGATTCTGGTTTACCATTAGCAACCGAAACAAATATACTAAAAGAACTTATTAAACCACCAAATATATTTCGAAAAGTTGCAAATCTTGTTACTGGAGATAATACAAAGTAAGTAAAAGACAAAGATCATTTGCATTTTTTTTTTCAGTTTTAGAATTAATAATATATAATACTGAAAAAGAAAAATATAGACAATAGACTTAAAATTTATTCTTCTAGCATTAGTAATACACTTCCATCTAGTCAATTATCAAATATTCCATGGCGTCGTATGGGTGTTAAATATACTAATAATGAAGCTTATTTTGATTTAATTGAAGAGATCGATGCTATTATTGATCATAATGGAGCTACAATTATGTGTGAAATTCAAGGATATGTAAGTGAATATAATTATGGTTATTGTACGATGTCAAGAAGGAAAAGTATTTTATTTTTGATAAAAAAATTTTAAAAACAAAAAAGGATTGAGGTATTCATGTGAAATTCATTGTTTTCTTCTTAAATATTAGTGTTATTATGTCATATGAAGATGCAAAAAAACTAAATGTTGGAATGGAAACAGGTATAACATGGCGTCAAGTAGGAATAAAACATCGAACAACAAATGAAATTTTGTTTGATATTATTGAATCACTTGATGCCATTATTGATCAACGAGGAATGATTGTCACTGCTGAAGTCAGTGGTGTGGTACGAACATATCTATACATATAATGCTAAATCATCAGTAAAGATTGTCTAGAGAAAAAAACATACAATAATTGTTGCTATATACACATTTTGATTAGTTGCTGATTTTTTCACGTTTCTATTTTGGAAAATTTGTTTGTTTATGTTGGTTTTTTTTTTTTAATTTTAATTTAGATTGATTGTTGTGTTAAATTAAGTGGTATGCCTGATTTAACATTATCATTTGTTAATCCACGATTATTGGATGATGTTAGTTTTCATCCATGTGTTAGATTAAAAAAATGGGAGGTAAGATTTATTAAAATGTTTTTTTTTGTTTGTTTGTTTGTTTTCTGAATGATTTATTTGTTGTTGTTTTTTTAAATTAAAGAGTGAACGTGTTCTTTCATTTATTCCACCTGATGGAAATTTTCGTTTAATATCATATCATATTGGCTCACAAAAGTAAGTTATTTATCATCATATTATATAGTGTTCGAACAACACTTACACTGTAATGAAATCAAATTAAGAAGCTTTTTTTCTATGAGATAGAGAAATTTTCTAAAAAGTAAAAGATACGCTAGAATAAATGTTCCTTTCAGTATTTTCTCACTATCGTCATGCATTAATTTTTTTCTGTGAAACATAATCTAAAAGGAATGTTGAGTAGAGATTTGTAACCAATTTACAGATCCCTAATGTTGAAATATAGAGGTAAAAATACGGACTCTCACCACAGATCATGATAGACATCCTAGATAGTAAAGAAATGTGTCATGGAGTAAAACAATATCCATTTTATTGACAAGAGGAGTTACATTGCTTTTTACATTTTCATTCCGCAGGAATTGTGCTAACAGCTTTTTTAATAAAATGTTATGCAAAAAAAAACTTAGGTGGATAAAACTGCAAGGCATTAACAGGCGCAATTTTGAAAGATTGTGTTTTCGGAATAATTGAGAATTATTTTCACGCTATGTGCAAACATATAAATGCTACGGAGTATCCTTAAGAGTATGAATGAGTGTGTTCTTTTTTATGATGTACACTGACATTTCTTCTATGTAAGTCTTTTTTGACCCAAATATTATTTTTTTTAAAAACGAGGTCAAAAAAACACGCAAATTTTACCAGTGTTGCGCAATACTCCACGACACAAATAGCCCTATTGAAATTTCAGCATTTCAATCTGATGCATCATTCGTTTTTTCTTGAAACCGAAATAAAGTTAAGTAATATTGACTTTTTTTTTTGTCTGAGAGTTCGAAAATCGCTGATTCAAAACCGTTATATATTTGTAGAGTTGGAAATCAGAAAGAATTCATTTTTATGAAAGGTATTGATGAAAAAATTTCATTACCCTAATTACAAGATCAAGTTTTACAAAATTGCTATCCGTTCTTTTCGTTTGTTTCAAGCGCCAATGAATAGATCTACACTAACTATGATTTAATTCTTTTTTGCGTAGCAAAACTTTGCAATACGTTTCTGTAGAAAAATGAATTGTGAGTCTTCATAAAAATAGATGATTGAAGTATGATGATATTAAGAAAATCCTTTTTTTTTTTGTTATTTTGAACATTTGCCACCTAGATATGCTCTCTTGCTAAAAATATTTGCAAGACATTTTTTGAAAAATTAAAGGCATTAGTCTTAAATTCTATCATTGTGGAAACTCTGAAATCATGTCAACTTTACCAGTTGACTTTTTATCAAATTTTTTTTGTAATAAGCAAAAGAACGAATTATTTTGAAGAAACATAATAATTACTCGAGTTTTTTTCAACTGTCATGGAAATATTTGTAAAGTAACAAGAAAAAACTTCGATGATGACAAGTTGATAGTAACAAAAAACAGAAAGCTATAGATTTCAGGAGTATTTGTAAGTTTTTTACTTGATGAATAAAAACTGTAAAGTCTCATCTATAAACAGAGAAAAACAAACCACTTGATTTGGTTTAATCAAAATGCTGATATTTACTTTCCTTTTCGATAGGCAACTTTCCGGATATCCTCTAGTTGTTCTGTATAAACAGATGTCAAGCTTAGTAAGTTAATTGTTATCATATGGTAGAAATTTGCAAAGTCTGTTCTTGAAAAAGTATTTTGAGTAGGCGTTGAAACATAAAGATTTTAAATCAGACTTGTAAACAATTTATTTATAGGAATTATACGATTTGGTTTTAAATCAAGATTTTACTTATCTATTTTTATTAAATAGATCATCCACATATCGAA